CCGCCGCGTTCGGGCCTGCGCCGTTCGCGGCAAGAGCCTCGCAAGGAGCTCCGCAGTGAGATCACTGTGGCGTATGCCGACGCCGCCACGGACGCAGGGTGCTCAGGCAGTCATCGGCTGCAGGTGGCTTCGCGCAGCATGGCCAAGCGATGCAAGGCCTGTGGGTGCCGCACCTTCGGGGCGCACGTCGTGAGCGAGGGCGGCACATTTGCTGCATGCCGTCTGTGTACTCTCGCCGCTGCTGCCCCAGCGAGCGCGGGCCACTCGTGGGCCCGCCTCGCCCTCGGCACCTGGTTCGGGGGCGCGAGTGCGGAAGGCCCGTCGGCGACTTGGCCACGAGCACGGGCTAGCCCCCCGTTGGCTGGCGACCTGTTCGACCTGGAAGAAGGCGGGCTTGGTCAGCAGGACGGAAAGCAGGAAGGCGGAAGGATTATATTAGGCAGTGCGCTGCGGGCTGCTCCACAGTGACTTGAGCAGGCGAATTTCTCTGGCCAGTTTCGTATGGCCAGGAGCTCGACCCTTCTCGAGGGCTCGCAAATACCGCAGCACTGTCCGAGTTTGGGCTACGCATTCCTGCACAAATGTCCCGCTCTTCCTGACGTAGTCCGTGCCCAAGCCACCAAATCGAGGAAGGCGGAAGGAGGAAGGACGGGGTGAGGGCAGGAGCAGGCAGCGGGCAGGAGGGAGGAGGGACTAGGGGCAACGGGCGAGAGGCGAGGGAGGAAAAGAGGGGGGAGGAGAGAGTACCGTGAGGGAGGGAGACGGGAGGAGTGAGGAGTGAGAAGGGAGTAAGGGAGACGGGGGAGGAGGGAAGACGGGAAGAGAGGGAGGGAGGGAGGAAGGAATGAATGAGGAAGGATGGAAAATGAGGAAGAAAGAAGAAGGCAAGCAGGAAGGAGGAAGACGGGGGGAGATAAGCAGGAAGGAGGAAGGGGGCGAAGAGGAAGGAGGAAGGAGGAAGGAGGGGTACGGCGGAAGAGGGAAGGAGGAGAAATGAAAAAACGGGGAATGCGGACGAGAAGGGGCGAGGAGTCGGAATGACAGGAGTGCGAGAACGAGGACGAGGGGGAGGACTGCACTGATTACCCTGCAAAAACTGCCCCTGCCGGCACACTCCGCAAAAAGGCTCCACCTGAGCGGTATGGTAAAGCCGTTGAGGAGGAGCAGGAGGAGAAGGGAGAGGGCAAGACGAATGGATGACATCGAATGCGTAACTCGAAATGTGTTTTTTTTCAGGGCGACGCAGTCTGAATCAGCAGGGCATCCTGAAGACGAGCTCAGTAACGTTTAGGGGTGGGCAGTGGCTTGCATTCGTGTCTCGATCACCCCTATCAGGCGCCTCACTGGCGCCTTCTGTTCATTCCTGTTCTACAACCCGATCCAGCACCTGCTCCACGTCTGTGCCCAATCGTCCTTCTCCTGCGTGGCCGTTGATGGTGGTTCGGGGACTGCCTATTGTTTCAACATCTCATCCGCCCCGCCCAAGCAGTGCGCGTGTCAATACGTACGACCTGTGTTATGCTGGACGTGGACCTAGATCAGTGTTTAGGGAACGGCTGCACCAGAAACAACGGCGACGCGGCAAAATTATCCTGGCGAAGGTCCCAACCATATGCAGCTGTGGGTACCGTAATTGTGAATAGCTGCTTCGGTGAAGCTCCCTATGGGGCCACGAAGCGCTGCACTGGGCGGGGGGGAACGCTGTACTGTATGGGTGGTGTGCCGAATTGGGTTTCCGGGACGCATCCGGACGGTCCCATTGAGGGCTTCGGTGGAGCTCCCTATGTGGCCACGAAGCGCTCTACTGAGTGAAAATGCCAAATTGTGTTTCCGGGACGCATGCAGACGGTCCCACTGGGGGCTTCGGTGGAGCCCCCTATGCTGCGCGGGTGAAAATGCCAAATTACATTTCCCGGACGCATACGGACGGTGGCACTGGGGCCTTGGGTGGAGCCCCCCATGGGGCCACGAAACGCTGCACTGGGTGGGTGAAAATGCCACATTGGGCTTCCGGGCCGCATGCGGACGGAGGCACTGGGGCCTTCGGTGGAGCTCCCTATGGGGCCACGAAACTCTGTACTGAGTGTGCGGGACGCATGCGGACGGTAGCACTAGGACCTTCGGTGGGGCTCCCTATGGGGCCACGAAGCGCTGTACTGGGCGTGCGGGACGCATGCGGACGGTAGCACTGGGACCTTCCGTGGGCTCCCTATGGGGCCACGAAACGCTGTACTGGGTGGGTGAAACGCAGGGAGGAGGGGGAGGAGGGCCACGAAACGCTGTACTGGGTGTGCGGGACGCATGCGGACGGTAGCACTGGGACCTTCGGTGGAGCACCCTATGGGGCCACGAAACGCTGTACTGGGTGTGCGGGACGCATGCGGACGGTAGCACTGGACTTCGGTGGGCTGCCTATGGGGCCACGAAACGCTGTACTGGGTGTGCGGACGCATGCGGACGGTAGCACTGGGACCTTCCGTGGGGCTCCCTATGGGGCCACGAAACGCTGTACTGGGTGGGTGAAACGCAGGGAGGAGGGGGAGGAGGGCCACGAAACGCTGTACTGGGTGTGCGGGACGCATGCGGACGGTAGCACTGGGACCTTCGGTGGAGCCCCCTATGGGGCTATGGGTGTGCGGGACGCATGCGGACGGTAGCACTGGGACCTTCGGTGGGGCTCCCTATGGGGCCACGAAACGCCGTACTGGGTGTGCGGGACGCATGCGGACGGTCGCACTGGGACCTTCCGTGGGGCTCCCTATGGGGCCACGAAACGCTGTACTGGGTGGGTGAAACGCAGGGAGGAGGGGGAGGAGGGCCACGAAACGCTGTACTGGGTGTGCGGGACACATGCGGACGGTAGGATAGGAGGGGGAGGAGGAGGAGAGGAGGAGAACGCGGGGACCGTTTTCCCAAATCGAGGACCCAACACCACAGGATGGTTGGGAAAAACACACATGACAAAGGAGGGCGCCCAAGAGAAGGCAGAGCGGAGGGCGGCGACGGCGGCGCGAGCCTGCAGTGGCAGATCTCCAGGCAAGGAGCCCGAAGCTACAAGGGCCCGCACAGCTCCATCGTCCTCCTCCCCTTCCCCCGCACGCGAGGCCTTCTTGTCGCGCCCAGGAACTCCCTCGTCGACTCCCCTTTTGCCCTTTCCGCCAGCCTCGGGGCGAACAGGCAAGGCGGGAACGGAAGGGACGAGGGGAGGAGAACGCGGCAGACGTGGAGGAGGAGGCGGAGGAGGCGGAGGAGGAGGACTCCGCCGCAGCGCCAACACGGTGCGAACCTGCCGTGGAAAGGGAAGAGGGGAGGGAGAGCAAAACAAAGAGAAAGGAAGAGAGAGGAAGAGAGGGCGAGCGAGTGGTAGACAGGAGGGAGCAAGGGCAGCAAGGGTGAGACCTTGCCATAGAGAGAGAAGGGGGGAAAATGAAGAGAGAGAGAGAGAGAGAGTGTGAACTGACATCCGTGTCTAAGAATACAAGTCCCTCACACGCTCGTGTTGCTCTGTGCCGGCTTTGATGCAAGCGTGCCGCTGCGGTTTCTGGCACTCCGTATGCCTGCAGGGG